GCCGGGTTACACCGGGGGTCACCGAGCCCCTCAGCTCGGCGGCCGGGTTACACCGGGGGTCACCGAGCCCCTCAGCTCGGCAGCTGGGTTACACTGGGGGTCACTGAGCCCCTCAGCTCAGCAGTCAGGTTACACTGGGGGTCACTGAGCCCCTCGGCTCAGCGGCCGGGTTACAAAAATAGAAATAGAATAAATAAAACAAATAACACACAAAAGGATATACTTTTTCATTCATTTATTGATCAAAATGTCGGAAAAAGTACGTGAACCTCTAGAATTATCAGTTCAGTTAAGGGGATCAGGAGTGTCAATCAATGTGACGACAATCAGGTGTGAGTTTGGGTGGCTCTGCCCTATTTAAAAAACATAAACCTGAGTCTTCACTACCAAAGTCTGGTCTTCACCCCACAGGCTTGTTAACGCAATGCCTGCCATGCCTCGATCAAAGGAGATTTTGGGCTTCACCAATCCAATGTCGGGCAGATAGCATACAAACGGGGAAAATTCAACACCATTGTTACTCTCCCCAGGAGTGGTAGTCTAACAAAAATCACTCCAAGAGCAAGGCGTATAATATTCCGGGAGATCACAAAGAACCCCAGGGTAATGTCTAAGGATCTGTAGGTCTCTCTTACACTGGCTAACAAGTCCACCGTCAGGCAAACACTGAACAAGAATAGTGTGCATGGGAGGACAGCAAGGAGGAAGCCACTACTCTCCAAAAAGAACATTGCTGCCCGTTTAAAGTTTGCTAAAGACCACCTGGATAAGCCAGAAGACTACTGGAAGAATGTTCTGTGGACGGATGAGTTGAAAATATAACTTTTTGGCATAAATAAGAAACGTTATGTTTGGCAAAAACCAAACACTGCATTCCAACATAAGAACCTCACCCCAGCTGTGAAACACGGTGGTGGCAGTATCATGGTTTGGGGCTGTTTCGCAGCCACGGGACCAGGAAGGCTTTCCATCATCGACGGAACTATGAATTCTGGATTGTACCAGCAAATTCTAGAGGAGAATGTCAGAGCATCCATCCGTGAACTGAAGCTCAACAGAAGGTGGGTCTTGCAGCAAGACAATGACCCTAAACACACAAGTCAGGCTACCAAAGAATGGTTGAAGCAGAAGACATTTTGTGTTTTGGAATGGCCGAGTCAAAGTCCAGACCTTAATCCAATAGAAATATTGTGGCAGGACCTGAAGCAGGGAGTTCATGCAAGATAGCCCATCAACATCACTGAGTCGAAGCAGCTCTGTAAGGAGGAATGGGCCAAAATTCCTCCAAGCCGATGTGCAGGACTGATCAACAGTTACCGTAAATGTTTGGTTGAAGTCATTGCTGCTCAAGGGGGTCACACCAGTTATTGTAAGCATAGGCTTTTTCCGACAAAGACATTTAATGTTGGATCATTTTGATCAATCAATCAATGAAAAAGTATATCCTTTTGTGTGTTATTTGTTTTATTGGGATCTATTTTATGACTAAGATGAAGATCTGATCACATTTTAGGTTAAATGTATGCAGAAATTTAGAAAATTCTACAGGGTTCACAAACTTTTGTATCACCTCTGTAAACAATGCCATACTCTGACATTTCCTTTTCATTTGATTTGGAGAGTTATGTTAACAAAATCCAAGTTCACGAAGCATGCTTGGAGGACTTCAGGGTTCAAACACAGGTGTCTTGGTACATTGATGTTATGTTTAAAAAGCACAGCAAATTTATGGAAATGCAGTGTATATGATATAGAAGGTTGGTGCCAAGCTTGTTTTTAATGAGGGCCAATCTCACACTCTTGTCTTTCCAGATCATGCCTTAAACTTGGCAAACATTCGTCGGGGAGGTGCCTGCAATCAGATTACTGCTGATCCTCAAAAGCACTGCAAAGCACTCAGCACTCGCACCTGATCCAGCCTGTTCATCACCACGTGTCTCTGATGTCCTTTACATGTTATTATTATTATTGAGCACATTCTCCACAGCAAGAGGGGTTCAGAAGCAGAAAAAACAGAGTTGCTCTGTTGTGAGATGTTTATGAAAGATGTGAGATCTGTGAACGTGAATCGGGCTATTAAAGAAAATGGTATGTAATTTGCGGCAACATAGTGGCACAGTGGTTAACATTGCTGCCTCGCAGCTCTGAGGCTTTGGGTTCCTCTAGGTTTTCTCCTATTCAGTAGGTTTGATGGGTCTCTGAGAAAACTGGCCCTGGTGTGAGTGTTTGTTCTGCCCTGCCATGGACTGGCGTCCTGTCCAGGGCGTACCCTGCCTTGCGCTCAGAGCTCACCGGGATGCTCCCTGACCCAACCCTGAATTGGATGAAGCTGTCAGAAAATGGACGCATGGTATACAATTTGAATTATGGCATCTGATTTTTTTTTTCAGAGTGATCACAGAACCTATAAGGACCAAGTGTCTGTATTTGCCTGTATTCATTGGAAACCCAAGCAAACTGAACCCAGGACCCAAGTGCTGTGAGGCAGCAATGCTAATCGCTGCATCACTAGCCACCTTAAACTAGAGTACATGCCATTTTCTTTAAAAGAAAATTATCTTCAAATTCTGCCCTCCTTACTGTCCCCCAAGCCCGTCTACATTGTATGGGCGACAGGGCCTTCTCCTGCTATGCCCCCAAGCTCTGGAACTCTTTGCCCAAGGATATTAGAGAGTCACCTTCTCTAAACTCCTTCAAATCCAGACTCAAAACCTTCTTCTTCAGAAATGCCTTTACTTAACTGGTTCCATTCTTCACCCCTCTGCTCTTCTTAATACCACCTTCCACAGTCTCCTCTATTATTATTGTTGTATTGTTGTAATTATAATTGTGTCCTATCTTGTGAAATCTTCTTATTTATTGTTGTAGTCTTCTTATTTATTGTTATTGTCATCCTGTAAAGCGCTTTGAGAAGCGCTATATAAAATAAAGTTCATTATTATTATTATTATTATTATTATTATTAAAAGCCCTGTAAAGAAATGAATAAAAATCCTGACTAACGGGGCACTTTCTAGTTTTCATCATCCGTCATCAGGGTAGTTGTACAAGCGAGACCTGACCCCTCTCCTGCAAGTAGCTCGACTGTGGAAATAGAAATAAACAACTAAGGGCCACCCTTCTCACCCCCCCCGGCCTGCAAGGCTGGACATTTCCAATCATGAAAGTCAGATCTTTAGTGATTTTTGGAAACCCGGCAGATGCAAGCTAGACCAGAGGCGCACTCACCCGCTGTCTCCGGACGGCCTCGCCGATGCACACCAGCGTGTGGCTCCTGTGCTCCTGGGACAGCCCACACACCAGGCACACCAGCTCCTGGTCCTCCTCGCAGAACATCTTGAGCTCCTCCTGGTGTCGCCAGCACAGCGGCTGCGGCCCAGCCGGAGAGGGGGGGGCGCGGCCCGCCTGCCCCGTCTCCTGGCTGTAGGCCTCCACGATGTTGGCTGCCAGCCGGTTGGGCCGGTAGCTGCGCTCCGGGAACACTGCCCTGCACTGGGGACAGGAGGCGCGGGCGGGGGAATCCTCCCAGTACGCCGAGATGCAGGCCTGGCAGAAAGTGTGGTCACAGGGCAGAGAGACGGGCTGCTTGAACAGATCCAGGCAGATGGTGCAGCTCAGGTCTCGACTCAGCCTGGAAGAGGGGCTCTGTGGGGGACCGGCCATCACACCGCTCTTTTCTTTCCCTGCGCTTCCTCTTTTCCTCGCTGGATCGCTCTCTCTTTCCTCCCTCCGGTCGCTCTCTCCGGCCGACTGGGCAGACCACTCCCTCCGCTGGAGCCCTTCCTGTTTACTGGGAGACGGGAAGGGGTGGGCCGCGGGGTCCTCCGAGCCCGCGGTCAGATCCTGTTCCCACACGGCAGCAGGCAGGCTTCCCTGATCATGTGCCGACACCTGTTGCCTGACTGGACGCACACGTCACCTGCTGCGCCTGCAGCTGGGTCTCTGCCCGAAGAGCCGAGCTCCTTATCCACTCGCAGATACCCCCCCCGCCCTGGCAACGGCTCTTCCTGTAATAAACTGCACCACAGATATCCAAATACTACAGTATGAAATCATGCAGTACAGTATAGCACACTGCAGTAAAGTACAGTACATTTCAGCACAGCGTGTCCAGTGGTGAACACAGAGCAACTCAGAGTACAGAATGACACACTGCAATACAGTTTCTGTGCTGTGCTGCATAATAAAGCAAGATTTGAGATCACCATTTTTTATTTTAGAACATTCTACCCCCCCATTAAAATCACTACCGTCTACTCCAAACAACACTTAGGATTGTGGCACTTTGCGGTACTGCTGGAATTTTAAATACATCAATTTTAGTTTTTAAATCAAATAGGCCAACTGTTAAAATAAAAAAGCTGGATCATAAGCAGAGATGCAGAGTATACTGTAGCAGGCTTTTTATACAGGACTGTTATTGGGAGAACACAAACAGAGTTTGTCCTTTTTTTATGGTGAATAAAAGTGCAGAATTCAGCTCTGCACTTTCCCAGCCATTCCTGGCATTCTGTTCCAGAAAACACCCCAATGCGAGTGAAAGAAGCTCTCTCCCTGCCTGGAGTCAAGCAACGGCCCAGATTCCCACTGCAATCTGTCACAGGCCTCTGCAGTTCCCAGGAACAGATCAGACAGTGCAACTCTGATCTGCAGTGCCGATAACAGGATAGGCAGGAAGATCACAAGAGAGCAAAAATCAGACAAACACGCTAACAAGCTAAAGCTAACAGGGCATTTCCGGTGTCAGGTAACTGTAGTTTTTAACATAATGCATCAACAAAGGGCTCTTGACTAGACTTTCTTGACTTGACAGAACTAGGATGACAGGGGTCTCCATGTGACTTGCAACAGCCAGAAAACCGCAGACCTAATTTTCAGGAATCATCGCCTGGAAACATGCATGAAAATGCAGGAAAAAAACATACAACCGAAAAATCTAAACTACCATGGTTTCACTGAACCGTCTGCTAGAGGTTCTCGCAGACATCAGCCGAGACGAGCTGTAAAAGATAAGGGAGGAGCTGTCTCAGACAGCACTGGACACTGGACTGCTTTGGAGTCACGCAGAACACACCTGGCTCTTCTACCGCCACATGTTTTTCTGATACTGTGCTCCTAAGGTATAAATTCATCATTTTTTTCCTCCCCTATTTAGAATCACTAATTAGGGTGGATTGGGTTCGGTGTCGGGCTACATTTCACGTTTTTTACGCTTAAATTCGCGTGATGTCTACAGTCTACTAAAAACAACATTTGGGACTATGGTACTTTGCCGTAGTGCTGGATTTTTAAATACCTCCATTTCAGATTTTACATGTCAAATAAGTCGAACATTAAAATAAGAAAAACAATATAAATAATTAGATCTTCAAAAGATGTTACTATTCATATTAAACTAACTTCGGCGCTGATCATAAAACGCCATCTGAGAGATACAAGCTGTTGTAATTTTGTACAGACACGTAACGAAAGTATCACGAGATTCCTGTTTTTCTGTTTTGTTCCTAGGTAACAGTGAAGGCCGTATCCGGACTCATAAGAGACGGTTTTACAAACATGCCCGGGACATGTCTCACCGTCAGCACCTCGCCCACTTTAGCTTCCTGCAGAATGGAAACAGAAAGTCCCTATGTAGCCGAACTTGCTGTGATCACGTGTTTCCCCGGGCGCAGAGAAGATGACTCACTTGCTCCGTTTAAATACAGTCGCTTCCCGTCCCAGAGCAGCAAACTTCTAGTGTCGCACTAACTGCTGCTGAAGCGAGCGTATACTTTCACCTCGGACTGCACCTACTCAGGTACGGACCCTCCTTCAACTACCTGGCATTTTTCTTTAATTCTAACAAGACGGGCGTGAATTGCATTTCAGTTCCTTGTCTTTCTCTCTCTCTGGTGTGTGTGTGAGGTTGCATTCTGTTCACGAATATGAATGCCTGTTTTTTCTTTTTGCGTTTTCGATTAAATGTGTATGATTTGATTCTCTTGAACACTTCCCTGAGGGCGAATACCAACAAGTGCCCTACTGTCTGCGTTAGCCGCCTGATTCTAATTGCTGTTGCACCAGTCAAAGCCTGGCACGGCCTGCGGAAAGGAAAATGAGCCTGTCCATAATACTGTTGTAAATGTTTTGCTAATTGTTATTGCTTGGGGAGCACTAGTTAGTCTTTCGATTCAGTAAAGCTCATCGAATCTGTTGCTACAGCGAGTCTTTTATAAAATTCCATGATTCGCAATGTAAGCTTTACAGGACAAAGTATAGGCTTCAAATCGATTAAGTGTCAAGGGTCAGTTCCAACACCAGTAAAACTAAGTATTGATGATTATTCAGCAAAATCTGATAGCACTTGATTACCTGTTTTTTTTTTCATTTTGGGTACAAAACTCAGGGATATTATCATCAGTTGCTAGTGAAGGAAAAATTCATATTTATTTTGCCATCACCTTCATTTCAAAGCAAATGACAAGAACAAAAGTTGTGAAAAGAAAAATATGCTGCAGCCTGTACAGGTGGAAACATGTTAAATCACGTGCTGGTGATGAGGATAGAAATCACTGCCTCAGCACACCTAGAAAGTTTTGCCAAATATGAGGTCATGTGATCTGCAAAAATGAAGTTGCAGCTGGGTGTGGTGTTCAGGGAGTTGCCTGATTGCCTGTCCGCTCAGAGCCTGGGTGTGCCTGGTGGGGTGGTCTTTCACACCAAGTGAGAGTCTGTAGCTGGGCCGGTTGACTCTCATCCTTGGCGTCTAGAGCTGCAATATTTTGTTAATCTGTTATTTACTGTACCGATACAAATAAAACATGTCCCTTTAAATTAAGGGGGATTTAAATTACAAAGAGGTTAACCATGCTCATCACACATCACTTTATTAGCCCCTATACAATTTCGTGCATTAGGAATTCATCTTTTCGCATACCCCAGCTTGCTCTCCATGAGACACAGACAGGGAGAGAGAAGCTTGGGGTCAGAGCGCAGGGTCAGCCATTGTACAGCACCCCTGGGGCAGTTGGGGTTAAAGGGCCTTGCTCAGGGGCCCAACAGACTAGAATTCCTCCGCCTGCTGCAGGATTTGAACCAGCAACCTTCCAGCCACAGGCACAGATCCTTAGCCACAGAGCCACCGCATGTTAGTTTTAAATGATGTGCTATAAATGGCCTTCAAAATCCCCTGAATTTTAGTTGTCAGCAACTAGATGGATTAAGTTGACACACAGCTAAGGTCCTACAGAAAACTAGAGTTTGCAGGGCTGGTGCTGTGTGATTTCACACAAAATCCCCAGGTAGGCCCAACTGAGGAACCAAGGAAATACAGGCTCTTTACTCCCTCTATATCAGAATTACCTACCTATCACAACCCTTTCCTCACACCGAGGGGGCACCTGTCAGCCGTGTCTTGATGCAAAACTCAGTTTGGATGCTCCCCATCCGGTGCACTTCAGAGCTCCTTAGGGCTCCAGGGTCTTGTGGTCTCCTGCCCACTCTGAGCTCAAGAGGAGAGCAGGACCAGGACTCATTGATGTTGCTTGGGATGGCTAATCCCTCGATCTTTGCAGCTACTGGGGCATTGGGAGTGTCTCATTCTTGCAAAGCAACAGAGGTATCTAGGGGGGTCCCAACATCTCTGAAGCTCTTCTGGATACTGCTCGGGTGGATGTGTTGTGCCAGGAGCATTTTAAATTTTCTGTTCAAACCAATTGTGTATTTCCAAGTACTAGGTTTCACAACTGCTGGGCCAAACAATAGATTACTTAAGAAATAAAAAGGCATTGTTAAACTATCATGAAAATAGATCTGAGTGGAATGGTCAATTCTGCTTCATGAGTACTTTGATCCCTTTTATCTCCAGGTAAAGTGTTCCTGTACCAAGCGTTGCTGAAACATGGCAGCTCCCAAGGTACAACTTAGCAGCTCTACCCCTGCGAGCGACAAGCGTGCCACTCAGAAGAGCACAACTACAGCAAAGATGGGCATCCCGGGCTCTGCTACCTCCAGAGGGACGACAGATGCCGCAAGACCTGCGGACAGGTCCTCCTCAGCCAGGACCTCCCCGGCACAAAGGGGTGCCCGTGGCCCTGCCAGAGGGCAAGTAGCCAGGAGCACTGAAACAAGAGGGTCTGGGAAAGGTCCACTGGGCAAAGATGCTGGAGAATCACCCAAGAAATCTGCCTCAAAGACCGCTGTCCCCACCAGCAATGGAGCCCGCAGTGCAGCAGCCCAGGGTGACAGTACTGAGCAAGTCCCTAGGAAGAGCGCAAACCCAAAGACACCCCCCATCCCCACGCACACCGGAAGCTCTTCCAGCCCGCCGTCAGGACCCCCACCTGATCAGGCACTGGCTGACAAGATGGGCCAACTCAAAGTGGCATGTGTAGAAGAAGAGACGCGGGGCCAGAGGGAGAACCCACTCTGGTTTCAGTGGCGTCAGAACCGCATCACGGCGTCCGTCACCCACCGTATTGCCAACTGCCGCTTTGTGAATGGGCGCAGCAGCGAACCGCCACGTTCCTACCTCCAAATGGTGACGGGCTCTGGCTCGGGGGTCCGAACACGCGCCATGAGCTGGGGCATCGAAAAGGAGCGCATTGCCGTGGAGACTTACCGAAAGAAGAAGAGCAGGGCACTAGGCCGGGAGGTCAGTGTGCGCGACTGTGGCCTCTTTATCGATCCCTACCGCACCTGGCTGGCTGCGAGTCCCGACGGAATTGTATTGGATTCAGAAACCGGGGAGGAGCTGGCCTGCCTGGAGGTCAAGTGCCCGTACAAACACCGGGACCACACGGCGAGCCAAGCCTGCCAAGACCCCGACTTCTGTCTGAGACAGGATGGCGAAGGTTATCGCCTGAAAACAAACCACAGCTATTACACACAGGTTCAGTGCCAAATGGCTGTGGTGGGGCTGCACACCGCCGATTTTGTGGTGTACACTCCCCGTGAGACGGTCATCGTTCCCGTGGAATTCGATCCCGTTTTCTGGAGAGAGACTGTGGCCAAGCTGGAGATGTTCTACACTGACGCAGTGATTCCACAACTGCAGAAGAATGAACTTCTTGTGGCAGTCCGAGAGGAGTAACTGGGGGACCCATCCTTTGGCAGCAGCTAGCTTAGCATTGCGGAGGAGTGGGTGCTTAAATACGTTTCTCAAATTACTTCTGTGTTCAGGCTCGTCACCCCAACAACACCGATAGCAAATCGGCACTGGAGCAGAAACCGTGCCAGGAGCAGGAGCCTCCTGCACAAACCTGGGTACAGGTGACGGAGTGGAGCAGGGAAAAATGCTGCACTAGGCATTTAGACAATCTAATCTAACACGGATAAATTCAAATATTAACTGGGTAAAACTGCATGTGAAAAGAACTCACTTTGCAAAGACGAGTCACCATTGTGTTCTAATGGTGCCTGCATCTTGTGGGACAAGTCTTAAGAATGAAATGACTAGCCAAACAAGACCAAATCTTCTCCATTTCCCAAGGGCATGTTACAATCACAAGGTTGATGTACAAGTGATCTATCTGAAAACCAATAGAGTTACATCTGACATTCTCTGATAGGACAGCTCTAATGCAAGTGGGCCCAACAAAGTCAAGGACATTTGCAAGAAAAAAGTGGCCAGGATCACTGCAGGTGAGCGTCTCCAACTTGACATATGTCTGCAGTGAAGCAGCTACCCCTGGCAAGCAGCAGACGTAGAGAATCTCGAACCCGGGCAGACCCATGACACTTCAAGGCTGTAGTTTGTGTTTGCCTGGGAGTGCCTTCTGCGGTCATTCAGCCTAAATATGACCATAATGTCTATGTCATCTTTCAAAGAAATGTGCTCAAGAAATAAAATGTATGAATTCTACTGTACTTGTTGTGGGTCATTTGTGCCACAGAGGTCAACTGACCCTGGACCATTGCTTTATGGTGCTGGGGCCCTACCAGGAACCCAACTACTAAACTCACCTCTTTTTACCTCACTAACCTGAAAGTCAACTTAAGACTGACTGGAAGCAAAGAATTGATCAGTAAAAAAACAGGGTTAAAAAAAAATCAACTGATATGGGCTTTGTGCTGGGATAATACACATCAAAACTAATGTAGACTTCCGCCTTACAGCTAGAAGACTGTCCTTGAATGTACAAGCTGTATGTCTTTATTTGAGACCAATGAGAACAGAAGACTATAATGATCTGTGCAGTGATACATTTCACCAGAAAAAAGGACAGCTAAATCAGGGTTGGGCTGGCTGTTCTCTTGGTGAACTCACCTCACATTTTTTCAGCTCAGAACCTGACAGCCTTCAGGGCTGCTGAAGAGACTCCAACCACATCCTAGCTCTGGTTCCTCTGCACACAGAAGTTCTGCTGAAGGAACAGCATGCACATACAAACAATCGACAAAACCATAAAAACTGTTTTTTTTTTTTTTACACAGAGGCAGGTCTCCTCTGGCGATTGGTCACCCATTACATAGTCCTCCCAACTATGTAGGAATGCCCCAGACATTCAGTAAGCACCTTCTCCTCACAGTACAAATGTGAGACTCGTACTCAAGTGCCAGAGAGCAGACAGCTTGACTCCTGATCCACGCACTCACACTCCAGTACCGCAGAGACTGGTTCCCCTGACTCCTGCTCCACACACTCGTACTCCAGTGCCGGAGAGAGCAGTCAGCGTGACTCCTGATCCACAAACTCACACTCCAGTGCTGCAGACTGGACCGCCAACTCCCGATCCACACACACACACTCCAGTACTGCAGAGACTGGTTCCCCTGACTCCCGATCCACACACTCGTACTCCAGTGCCGGAAAGAGCAGACAGCTTGACTCCTGATTCACACACTCATACTCCAGTACTGCAGAGACTGGTTCCCCTGACTCCTGATCCACACACTCGTACTCCAGTGCTGGAGAGAGCAGACAGCGTGACTCCTGATCCACACACTCACACTCCAGTGCTGTAGACTGGACCGCCGACTCCTGATCCACACACTCACACTCCAGTGCTGGAGAGAGCAGACAGCTTAACTCCTGATCCATCCACACACACATTCCAGTACCGCAGAGATTGGTTCCACCGACTCCTGATCCATACACTTGTACTCCAGTGCCGGAGAGACTGGACCATCGACTCCCGATTGTGTTCCAGTGGCACGGACACCAGACAGCCTAACTAACTCTTCATACCACATTTCTGCACTCATAGGGATTCCCCAGTCCTATTCTCAGTGTCGTTCTTCCTTGGGACTCAAGAATATTTCAAAAGCAGTTACTGCACTTTTGAAAGATTATCGTCAATATACTTTAGTTCGTCTGGGGTTGCACTACTAGTCAGAGTTTTTCCAACTCCAAAGTTACTACAGCCTTTAATATAACCATGGCAAACCCCTGGACAGAAGAACTAAGAAGGTGAGAGGCACTCTCAGTAATACCTGGAACCCTGGGCTATGAATGCATACTCTCTGCAATGTATAGTTCACTAATCTGTGTATAAAAAAAATGTACCTCTTCTACATCCATCTATATGTACTGAAATAATATGGTGGGAGCTGCACATTGGTGGTGGTGAAGGGAAGTCTCCATTACCTGTAAGGCTCTTTGAGTGGAGTGTCCAGGAAAGTGCTATATAAGTGCAAGCAATTATTATTATTATTATTATTATGAAAGCTACAACCTTGCTTTCTATCCAGTGCTGCTGATATAGAGTAATTGCTAAAAATTAATAACTAATACGGTTCTTCAATCTCACTGCCACTTGAGAGATGCAGATGACCCAGACTCGAGTCATGGTTAACTGGGAGCTCCAGAGTTCTAGTGCCAAGATTCTACCAATCCATTATTACAAAACGTGCTGCTTGTTCCTGGCCAGGCCTCCATATCAAAACACAATGTTCTTCAAGATGATTCCCGTGATGCATTAGTACCAATTCTTCAAACCTATACACAAACTCTACCACAGTGCACAATGATGCACAGAACACACTGACACTCGGGTCTAATGCTTTTAATCTAAGATCTTAAACAGCAATGTCAAATAATAGAGCAGAAAACGTGTACAAACTTCTGGATGGAGGAGTGATGCGTTTTCATTATGAAACGCCAGCCACTGTCGGAATGATGACATTGTGATCAGGTATGATCTCCTTGAGCATTAACGCAATTCTGAAATGCTGATGCACAGCCTCAGTCCTGATCAGCCCTGCTGTCCTGCCACTATTCCCGCAGAGCTGTAGCCCTCTGGCGAAAGCGAGCTGGTCCTGGGCGACTCGGGTTAGGAGAAAAAGCTGGCCATGAAGATCTCATTCTCTCTCAGCCACGCTGCCTTCAATCCTCCCATTGCCATGACCGTGCCCTTCGCAGACAGTGCGTTTGTTAAACTCGCGTCATTTGTCAAGAATGTTTCAAAATCAACACTGGCAGTCTTTACTCCGGTACTGAACACTGAGCCACCTGGTGCTTTTATGAAATTGTTTGAATCCGTCTTTTGTTAGCCTAAGGAATGCCACCGTTCAATCAATTAACTAGTCAGTGAATAAAATAATTTAAATCTGTTGGGGACACGAAACTCCGGCGTCTTCGTTGTGTCTTTCTACCTCAGTGCTGCCTGAGCTGTGCTTGGCTGTGCGAGTAGTTGAGAGCTGGGCGTGATCCGATTGGCAAAGGTGTAGTCCGAGCTCCAGCTGAGCCGCACCACTCTCAGACACAGAGTTCTGCTCCTTCTCTCGCTGGTTTGGAAGATCGCGCCTCTTTTCAAGGCAGTATTTTTACCTGCCGTCTCCTCCCCCGCAGCCGTATGTGAATGTGGGAGGGGAGGGGTTTGTGCAGGCTATCCTCCCCCCTACTCGCTGAAGCGCTTCCGCGGGCCGGTCCTGGCCCGACTGGAGCGGCGGATCTCGTGCTTGGAGTCGCGGCAGCGCTGGCAGGTGAAGACGTCGGGCACGTTGCTCCTGCGGATCTTGGCGCAGGACAGGTGCAGCCAGGTGCCGCACTCGCTGCACTCGATCATGGGCCGTCCCGCGAACGGCTTCAGGCAGAAGCAGGTGATCAGATCCCAGGAGTCCTCCTCTGCAGGGCGAGAGACGAACGAAAGACACACACACACAAAAATGAGGATCAGGAAACATGAGGAAAAAAAAAGAGAGCCGCGCGTTTGGAAACAGAGGGGAGACTCCTGGATGATCTTGAAATCTCTGTATTTATCATGTATCTTATGACCCAAAGAACGTTTTTAAGAGTTAAGAAAAAAACACAAGAGAACATTAGAGGAAACTAAAAGAAAATGCATTTGAAACAAAGAAAGAGAGACGTTTTCTCCACAAAGGGTTGTGGGGGTCTGGAACTAGTTAACCAGCCAGCCTGTTGAATACCCTGGGTGAACGAGGTCCTTGGATCAATCAACTACAAGTCATCAAAGGAGCTAGAAAAGCCAGATGGCCTAATTTCTTATTAGGCAGTCCAGCCTCACGATGAAATCCTAAAGAGAGGTGAAGACAGAGAAGGATGAGGCAAGGGGGACACGAGGACAGAGGGACGGTCAGTTACCAGAGCCGACAGTGGTGCTGCAGTCCCCAGGCCGCGTGTCCTGGTCTGTGTCACTGGCGCCCTGGTCCTGGGTGCTGCCGTCCCAGTCCGTGTGGTATCCAGTTTCCTGGTCCTCGGGCACGGTCCCCCTAGGCGTCCCGTCCATCACCAGCCTCAGGATGTCCGAGTTGCCCCCGGCAACACTCTCCCAGCTCGGCTCCTCATTCCCGGGCAGCTCTCCGCCCTTTTCAGTCTCCACCCTTCCCCTGCGTGCCTGTCCTTCCCGCCCGGCCTCCGTCGGCCTCTCTCCTTCTCTCTGCTCCTCGCTCAGCCTGAGGCACACCCCGCTTCCTGGCTCTTTCCTGTCTTCCCTCTGCTGTCCGGACACATCGTCTTTCTCCTCCTCCTGCCATTCGGTGTCCACGCTTGGCAAGGGTTTGGGCTGGCACACGACACTGAGATTCATAGGCTCCCCGATCTCCTTCCCGTCTGCTCTCTCCTGCACTGTACCGCTCCTGCTGGACCAGTCGCTGGAATCCTTAGAACACTGGACACTATTATGCGGGCTTATCTGGTGGACAGCACTGCAGCTTTTGTGGAAATGGTCTACACTCTGCGTACTGGGCCAGTGTGGATTAACCAAACTATGATCCTGCTCAGCTCTGCACTCCTGCTTACAGATGGGTGGTGCAGAGCTCATAGAGACTCCACACTGAAAGCCTGCAGGAAGGCGAAGGCACAGAGGGGTTGGCATGGGGAGAGGTTTACAGTCTGCACTGTTTACAGAGTGCGACACGCAAGTTATCCCCCCAGAACACAACTCGCTGCTGAGAAAGGTTCCACGATCCAGCTCTGCTTCCTCAAGCGTCTCCCCCCTCTCCGAGCTGACTGTCCCTAGTTTGACACGCTCTTGGGTGCTTGTATTTTTGGGGGGTCCCTGTTCCATTCTGGGTGGCTTGCGACCACCCACACCGTTAGTCCTGTGGCACACCTTCCTCTTCCCCACTGCACCGGTGTGGTCCGTCAGTCCCCTCCTCTTCCCCTTTCTCTCGCCTTCTGTGCCATTTGCTGTAGGGTACGCCACCACCCTGGCGGGCAGCGGTGGCAGAGCAGAACCCCCTCTCCGGCGTCTAGGCCCCCCCTGGCGAGCCCGGGGCCCCTTGGCAGGCCAGGTACCACTGTGCAGGTCGCAGGCGGGCGAGGATGGAAAGCCGTCACTGACACCGTTGTTCTGTGGGCTCACGCTGCTCGGACCCCACGGATCCTGCAGGGGGAGACCAAGAGAAAGGTGGAAAACAGGTGACGCTCCCATTAAAACCAGGACTGCTCCCTCCCTGAAGAGTCAGCCCCACCAAGACACAATTACTCAGACTGCAGCATAAATTACATGATCTAGCTTGCCTCCTTCCCATCTGCAAACTTATCACCTGCACCGCAGTGCTACATTTCCTGCTATAACAGAACAGAACAAGTTTTACTGCAAGCCTGATGTTCCAGTTAGAATGACTGGAGTTTTATTTAACTGGAACGAGAGATCAAGATTTTTTTTTTGCATGAGACCTAATTGTTGAAGCAGCAATTACAGTCTCACACTCTACTTCCCAACAACAAAGCAACTTGAATAACAAATTTCTTCAAAAAGGGAACAATTATTTAAGGATAAAAAAGCATTGAGCACAAGTACAATCAACAACAATAAAATCACTTGCCACAGCTTTAAAGCCTTCAAGTACTGTTAATTAAGCAACATGAAACATGAAAATAGAAGGCACTTTTAGGGCAAGAGAGCAAAATAAAGCCTTTTTACCAAGTACCGAATCTTTGAAATTGTAAACCGTAATGAGGTCATATTTAATAAGAACTTGGCTGGACTCTACAATTTTCCCCACCTCCAGGTTTACAGAAGGAGATGGGCTGGAAATTCAGAGAAGTGGTCTGATCCTTTAGAAGGTTTACCAGTTACATGCTAATGTATACTGTACATGTCACCTCCAGGGGTGGATAATTCCAAGATGCTTTGAGAAGGCTCATACAGAGGTCTGAAATCAGCATCACAGTGGCATGTTTCCCTGCCTGCTTCTTTAGCACAAACGTCACAAAAGCCTGGAGCAGGCAACTCCTGAGAGGACCCCACAGCAACACAGGCAAAGCACTGAGAAGCTGGGAAGAGCATTTAAGGCTGCCCCGGCTGCCATCAGTTTGCCCTGCGAAGGCTCCTTCTCTCGTACCTCAGCAGGGCGAGGGATGTACCCGGCGTAGGCCAGCACAAAGCTGCAGAACTGCCTGAAGTCTTCCACTGTGCGTCGCCTCTTCACCGGGGCCTGCGAGGCGACAGCAGGAACAGTCACTGGGAGAGCCAGGTACACACAACAAGACACACACAGCGACACAGGTATTCATATCACTCTGTCCCTCACGTCAGCACACACCTGCCCAAAATCGGGGAAGATGGCATGAAGCACACAGCGCCCGCGTTTTTCATCCGGGGTTACAAGGAGTCTCATCTTTTTACTCTTTTACTAAAAGCCTGGACAATTCCTCAGTCAAGACTGCGTGTCATTAAGGGTCTGCGGGCCTGAACAGTAGTTCAGCAGTGTGGTGCAATCCCAGCAGTACTTGCCAATGCGAGTGTCTGTGTCTATGAGCATCTGTTCTTAACAGGAGTGAGCACCCATTTCCTCAAGAGGACCAGAACCACCAGGCTACAAGGAAAAATGGACCTATTATTCCCAACTCACGTTCAGGAATATACAGGCACTTGGAGACAGGGTCAATTTTACTAAAACATAATAAACACAAAGGATGACCATAAAAATGGCACCGCCTACATAACATGTTGATTGGAACTCATGGTCCAGGAGGAAGAGCACCCCAGCCCCAGTCTCACTCCTACCGCCCCACCCCAGTACTGAGTGGGTCCAGTCTCACTTCTTCCCCCCCACCCCAGTACTGAGTGGGCCCAGTCTCACTCCTACCCCCACCCCCAGTACTGAGTGGGCCCAGTCTCACTCCTACCCTCCTGAGAGTTAAACACAATAGTACAGTACAGCATAAGGGTTTCTGAAGGATGTGCCTGAGAGATCACCGGTGCTTTCAGAACAGATCAGCCCTGAACTGGGGCTGAAAGGTGGCTGGAGACCAAGCAGATCTGATTGGTGTGGGTAGTTCAGCCCTCCACTGTTTGCAGGAGTGGAGAGCACACACGCTGTGGAAGGAGGAGATCGGAGACGGAGAGAGGAGGTGGAGGGAGAGATGACAGTCCGAAGCAGAGTGGTTGAGATGCTGGTAGTCGGGGACTAGGGTTTTTCAGTCAGATGTGTCCAGCGATTGGGAGACAATGGGAGTACTGGAGCAGTGGAGAACCATGGGAGCAGTGGAGAGAAAAGAAGGCAAGATGAAGACTGTGGATGGTGTTGGCAGGGAGAGAGAGATTAAGAGGGAGCCACAGTAATCCAGGCAGGAGAATACCTGCACCTGGACAAGGAGTTCTGTAGTTGGCAATGTAGAGAAGGGTTGCGACTGTTTTTGCAGTGACTTTGCTGAAACTCTTACAGAAGTTAATCAGTTTCATTAAAATAAAATGTTCATTTTTCCTCTTTACATGATCTCAGTATGATTGCTCAGAGAATATCTCAAACCACTAGTGTATGTAGTGGTATGCCATTTGGCAAAACTAAAGATCTGAAAAAGCTCATTTGCAGATATGCCACGAGTGGTCACTGGCGATGTGAGTAATCTAGTGGCTGGTGCCGTCATTGTTCTTCAACGTGTTTCCTCTGTAACACCGTCTACAGGGAGACCTCTGCCTGCCATTATCCCCAAGAACATTTCAGATGGCAAACGATTTAACCAGAAAGACCAAGCTGTTGTGAGCGAACGACACGGTGTGTCTGAAGAGTGAATTAAAAGGTCACTGAAATATTTACCAAGTTGTGATCAAGTAAATAGCTAAATCCTGAAATGTATTAAGAAGAGTACAATAAAGAATCACAACTGCAAAGTTGTTTTTTACCTCATCTTTAAACACTGGACATGAACTAACTTTACAGTAAGATTTACACTCACTGTTGGCTTACTGTTGCTATTATTGTGGGTCGATCGTTGAATCTTTAACCACAGAAACCTCAAGAGCATATACCCTATGCTTACATCACATACCTCTGAATTTGGAATTACACGGCAAAATGCAGGAAGCGAGTCATTTGAAGGGGGAAGAAACAGTATTTCTATGTCGGTTTGCACGGACACGGAAGTAAAGAGAGATACAGGAATGCCAAACAAAACGCAATGAACAATAATTCCAGGACCGCACACCCGCTGTAGCCAACCGAGTGATGCATTTATGAAGAGAGTCCTTTTGCTGGCGATGTTTTAGCATCACTATCTCATTTAACGCAAAAAAAAAATGTCCGAGCCGCTAATACGATTCGGAAGGGGGCCAAAGCATTACAGAACAAAAGGGTATACGTTGTCTTTTGCGGAAACTCCGTCCATGATCGATACGTCACTCGACACAATTCGCCAGACCACAGGTCCGAGTGCGCTGGGACAGAGCGTCCACACCGCGCAACCCAGCCAGGTCCCACGCATGACTGACACCCTCGCAGTTTCACAGAAACAGCGTCGCGAAATTCACAAAACCCCTTTGTGTGAATTTAAGGGGGGGGGGCGCACTCGCAGTATCTTCATTTAAGTAAGCTTTGGCTAGTCGACCGAAGATTAACCAGTGATAAAAGTAAACTCGTTAAATAAACAGTGCTTAATCCGATTTCTAAAATGCACGTCTAAAAAGGACCCATGATCCAGGAGAAGGGGGACTTTTTAAAGCAAAATGGTTTTTATTATTGTTTTGAAATGTCTGTGCTTGTTGACCTGTGATCACTACCTTTCCCCCATACTAGTGCGAGTCCGGAACATCCCGCCGCAACTCGCGGGTCCGGCCATTTCAGTAACACAATTCAATCTTTAAACAATTGTATCAACGCCGTACCTCTTTAAAAAAAAAAAGAGCAAATGCAGGATGAGGGCTACCAGTGGAATGGGGGGTGAGACAAGTGTCTGCGAGCTTGCAAACAGTCGTAAAACAGGTCCTTCGACAGACTTCTGAAACGAAACTGAACTTCCTCTTTCGCCCTCCACAGCTCATTGTTCATCACCCGGGCCAAGAGGCCGCGTCCACACCGCACGACTCCGCTGGACACACGCTGATATAAATACAATAGCGCGGACGCGCACACACCTCTCGGACATCTCCCGTATCTAATTATTCTTTCTGCAAAGATGGCGACGGTCGCGCTTACAACCTGTAGTGGCCGGAGTGACCAACCGAAGAATGCGAAAGGAGTACAGACGTCTCGTTTGCACAAACGACCCATCTCACCTGGGTTCCGCAGGGAAGCGAGCCCCTTTACCACAGTACGCCAGCTAAACCGCCGTAACAAGCTCGCCTGCGTATCCCGTATAAAGTACCGTCAAACTTTATTTTTGCAATGCAACGCGAATACAAAGAACAACATCCGAGCGAGTACGAGCTGGGGAAATAGTGCCCCTTTTTTTAAAACCCACAAACCTCACAACCTGAAAGGGGGAGAAAACACACACACACACACAACCACACTCCTCACCACCAGAAAAGGAGAAGTCGGCTCAATCTCGTATAACAGCACCGTAAAAGCGACATCATCGCCGGCATCTGCCACTGATGGTGTAATTAACATTAAACCACAGGTTCTTACCTCGGCTATCGTCTTCGGCTCCGGGACGGGACCTTGAAAAACAATCGGAGAAGAAAAAAAAACACTAGACTTGAGCAAACACCACTGAAAGCTGTGCCTCTAGCAGTCGGGCAAGCCGGGGTACGTCTACTTCCCACAACGATTACCGACAGAGAAAACGTCCATCTTAAATAACCGTCCGCTTCTGCAAAAGTATATTTTACAGTCTCCGAGGACAACAGAAAGTGAAAGGACGCGGCGCCAGAAACTTTTATTTTAGCTGGGGTTTACAGGTTAAATCCCGCATGGATCTCGGTCGTCCGCTGCGGAGAGCCGGCCAGAATGACTTTAAACTCCCGGAGGCGCTTGGAGACGACCCGGGAAAACGGCATTGAACTCACCGGTGCGGACCCCTGCTCCGGTGTGCGCTGACATCTCGCCTGAGTCGTGTTCCTCTGCCTCGGCGAGGGATCCTCTTGCCCAGACATACACACGCACCGACCCCCTTCTGATCCACACAAAACAGGATCACTAGTAACAATGCATTCCAGAAACCCAGTGTGCGGTGCTGCGCCTCCTCTGTTATTTGAGTCCCATCCTTCTCTGTTTTGTCTTTTCGTTTTTTTTTTTCCTACTTTAACACCGTCTTTGGAAGATAAAAACTACACCCCAGGCGAGTGAAATAACTCCACTTTTGTGAGAGGTCGTAGCATTCTACCAGTGACATCACTCCGCCGAGCCGAACGAGGGGGGAGGGGGGATCATTGTTATAATCATATCATCTTTTAAAGAAAAACACTCACACACGATAACAAATAATCCCTACTGATAAAGCCTGAACATATTTCTGTTCCAGTCATTCGCATCATCTGCCACAGGATTGCTCCCAACGGCAATCCTAAAAAATAATAAATCCCGTTGACACACGACCCCCCCCCCCATTCTTCGCATCCAGTGTCCCGTCAGCTGGCGGAGTGCCACAACCCCGGGAGATTCCTTGACGCTGTCGCGACGGTACTGACTGCGCTTTGGGGAGGTGTGATGCGCACCTGGGTGGGTATTTAAAAAACAAACACGCGAAACAAAGTTACTCTGTGATCAGCTGTGATCAGCTCCGTATCAAAACACGTTACGCGTTGTAAGGCCGAGCGCTGAGCTTAGCTTGGGATGTGTAAGAAACTGAAACTGGATCGTTTCATCGTAATGGTCAAAAAATGTGTGCGGCTGCAGAAGCTGTGGTCTGTACGGCTCTACGGTTTTTATTTGTGACCTACGTTAGTTCTGGAGCGCTGGCCTTGCAGTTCAAGTCGAAACTGCCCTGCTTGGTATCGTATTGCCCACGCACCGAGCCGAGTGCGTATTTCTAGTCTTTGTTTTGGTTTGGAAGTAAAAGTTTTTTTTAGCAGGCATTCGCTTTACGAAATAACTGCGCGGCACTGCTTGAATTAATAAATACCCGTTAAAGTGTTGTTCTAATTGTGTACCTTTTATTACGTATTGCAAATTACGGAAATTATTTCTGTTTTTAGCAATGTATGCCGTTTAGAGACCTTGACATTTATTTCATTTTTCCGCCTCATCCTGCCTCGGGGCTCAAAGACTTCCCTTACGTTTCTCGGCCTCCGTAAACTCTGAATTAACGCAGAGATGAACATCTGATAGATGTCATATGAAAAATGCTTTAAAAATGAATTACGTCCTTGAAAGTCGAGAGATCATTGGGTATCGTGGCCAACTGATCCCGCCAGAGAAGTCTGATCCGGGCAGCTGGGGGGCGACCCACGCTTGATCCCACGATCACGGAGCTCCACCGGTGTTCGAGTGCGCGCTTTTACCGTGATCTACTCTGCTTCTCTAAACGGTCAGCTTAAGAAATAATTTCATTTCACTAACAGCTGTTCTTAAAACACCCTATTAAAGTATTACTCATCACAACTGAATTATAATTTTTGGGGTGTTGCTGTAGATCAAAGAGTGCAGGTAGTTAAATCCCAGGGTCTGGACCTGGTGTCTTCTGGAGGAAAAATAAGCCTGCATTTCTGAGCGGATCACAGGGGATCCAGTAACTCATCAGTTCCCAGTGCTGATCTTGGAGACCCACACCCATTCCATTCAACTTCCAAAGCATGTAGGAGGTTGTCTTTTCACCTTTCTGTTCCATAGACGACTTTTAAGACTCCAGCCTTTGAGTAGGAAAAAAAAAACTTCCAAATAAGTTCCAAACTTGGAACATGAACTTGGCGTTCCAAAAGCTCCACACAAGAAGCAACATGTTGGTTCAATTCAGGATTCATTTAAGTAAAGGGCCGGTGTGGGGATCCTCAGGACTGGGAGCCCCGTTATAATGAATGTGATCATCGGCAGAACCAGCACGTGCAGTGGAGCTCTGCGCCTTCACTGGAGATCAGATCCATGTTGGCAGTACGCCTCGACCTGTCTGTTGTAGCAGGAGCTGCTCAGTATCCGTGTTGACAAGAGTGTAGTGAAAAATCACATCTTTTATTCCTGCAGCCAGAAATCCACTGCTCACACCGGGCCATCGGACAAAGAATGACATACGCTGGCCCTCAAGGGACTCTGCCCAGCAGGTTTTATACGCTTTTTTAAACCTCCTTTCTAAGCTGCTAACGAACAAGGAAAGGCTTCAGCCTCCAATTCAACAAGTAATGAGTTCATTTGGGTAATTAAGGACACGGGGAGAGATACAACTAGTAGCCTTCTGGCTCTCCCAACATTTAGCCATAAGGCCAAGCTTTGAGGAACCCGGGCAATGGAGGTACACCAGACAAATGAGACTGTGCTTGCTTTGTGTGTTCATTTATTAGCACATTATGAATATTTAAAACATATTTATAAGTTAAGTACAGCATCAAAACACCAGAAACCCATTTCATTTTGTCCATCTATCCCCCCCCCCCCCCCCCCCCCCCCCCCCCCACAGCTGGGCTGAATCTGGTTCAGGACGTGGTGACCCCCCCTCTCTGTTCAACTTGGCAACAGAAAGGACCGGGACTCTCACAGGAGCAGAGTGACGTGGTCTGTCTCTGACTGCAGACCTACCTGTGAGCACGAGCAAGACTGCGAGAGAGTGCAAAGACACGCACACACTGAGCGGGGAAAAAACAGAAAGCAAGCCCTCCCTCCCCATACACACAGACAGACCGACATTTCTGGGGCCTGTGCCCAGAAACACACCCGTTCATGAACTTGCTCATAAGGCAATGGAGCAGTCAGTTAGCGATCGGCCACAGAGCCCTCCCTCTCCACTCCACTCAGTGCTGGCCCTGCAGAGCCACGGCCCTCTTGAGTCTCACTCCTCCTCAGTTCCCAACGACTCAGCTGGATCACTTACTGATTTAACTCGTCTTGTTTTCAACTGTTTTCCAGCCTGCAGTCTGTGATTTTCTATAAAACCCACAGGGCTGTGAACTCTGCAGGACCTCCTAACTTTCTCTCACACTGCCTGAGCATTATTCATCACAAGTACACTGGGCTGAGTCTGAAGAGTTCAGGGGCCGAAACTGAGAGGACTGGCAGGACCATTCAGCAGACACAAAGTCTTGGGCATGCCAGTCCAGGCCAATGGAGGAAGCGCTTCAGTCCCAGCAGAGACAC